TACAATGGATTAGAATTTTTTGAGAGTCTATAGTAGATCAGAGTTATCTAAGAGTTTAAAACTTTGTAATAATAGTTGTACAATGGATTAGAATTTTTTGAGAGTCCATAATGGATCAGAATTACCCAAGGAGAGTTTAAAAATTTATAATAATAGTTATACAATGGATTAGAATTTTTTGAGAGTTCCATAGTGTATCAAAGTTATCCAAGAAAAGTTCGAAAATTTAATAATAAGAGTTACAACAGAATTCTTTCGAATTTCGAGAGTCTATAATGAACCGTGACGATCAAAATTTTCCTCCTCTTCTTTATACCTTATTTATGTCGATTGAACGAATTATTTAAACTTCGGCGGTGAATTGAAATTGGAGATTTACGTGGGATTTAAAGAAGGGGATTGTTGGAAGGTGATTGCGACAAGGTGGGTGAGATACGAACGAAAGACGTAAAACGCGGGGAATCCGCTGGGCGGGGAACGTCTCCACCGGTTCGTGTTCTGTCGAAGGAACAATCGAGGCTGTCCGAGGGGAAGGTAATTAAGAGGACACGACGGCGTCGATTAAACGAGTCCTGCCGAATCGGGTGAAACGAATTAATTCCACCGTCGAACGAGGATCGAAGATAAACGAGGATCGAACCTGACGGAGGATACCTCGTATTTAACGATTCAGTGACGAGCACCGATTTATCTCGTTAAATATTCACACGTACATATTCACACCCGTACGAGATACATTTTTAAAAATCCCCTCGGATAAAAATTTCCCTTCCCTTTTCTTTCTTATCGAAAACACAATTCTCGAAAAATTGCCACTCGCTCGAAATTTTTCTTCTTCTTTCGTCGCGTCCGCCAACCAATCTCGAAGATATCGACGATACTTGTTATGGCACTACCGTTTCGCCGTGAACCGAGTGAATCTCATCGTCGGAGGAATTCCCCAAACCTAACCTCGCAATCTAATTCGCAACATCTCCTACGATCTTAACGCATGTAATGTCCTGAGTCGTTGGGATTGTCATCTTGGTCTCAAAAAGCGCGTTCAGTCTTCTTCTTCTTCTTCTTTTTCTCGGAGAAAGAAAGATAAATATAAGAAAAACACGCTCGCTCTAATTCTTTTGAAGAAATTTGGTTCTAAATATAGTCGGAGGGTACCGAGGTCTCGTTTATCGCCGCCAATCGATACTGAGGCGTTTCCAGGCCTCCACCTCCCTGCTGGTTCAGGTGGAGATTCGTGCTGGCTCCGGAGGCTGGTGCGGCCGCCGGTGGCATCTGTTGATTCGCCGAATTCGAGCTCAGGTCGCTGTAATAGGCGCTGCTCGGCGCGCTGCTCAACGTCGGCCCATCCGGTTCCGCGTCGCTTCCTGTGTACGCGGTGTTTTGGTAGGAGGGGTGGTCCCCGTTCCTGCTACCCACGCGTAGCTCCTGAGGATGATGATGGTGATGATTGTGGTGGTGGTGGTGGTGGTGGTGGTGATGCTGCATCTGACCAGGCGGGACTGGCGTCGACGGCCCGTTCTCGTACATCTCGTAATCCGGTTCTTGTAACCTTTATAATATAAAAAAGATCGCGTTACGGCTGCTCCTCAATTTCCAGAAACTCGATTACACGAGTTTTCAATCTATCGATGCATCGGGTAACGAGCGGTAATTTTCGAGCGACGGATAGTGTTCCAAGGAACGATAAAATGGAAGAAATCAAATGGAAGAAGCTTGATTTCCAACGAATAATTAACTTGAATTTATATCCGATAACGCTTCACCTTTTAGAGCTATTATTTATATTTGAGTTACATATTAATAGTATTAATTAAATGCATGAAATGGTAAGGATAAATTCTAGAGATTTCCTTTCGTACACGTTCCACAATCGATGGACGCTTGTTCTTCGCATGAAGATTGGTGGGGGGAAACAAGTTTGCGCAAATAGCAAATAATATTTAATAATTAGAAAGAATCGAAGGGGAGGGGGTATCGAAATTATCGAATCGCAGATGAATCGAGGATGAAGATGGCGTAAATTAATTTACCTTTTACTGTGGCGCGTACGAAGCGTGTCCCTTTGCAGAGATCCGTCCCCGTTGCTACCGCCGTAATGACGATGTAACCTCGCGGCGTCGAGCTCGTGGTACTCGTCGTCCTGGCCGCCGGAAGTTGTACCGTACGTCGAGCTTCCTCTCATTTGTAGCTGGAGATCGCTCGCGTAGCTCGCGGCCTGAGAGTCCAGTTCTGCGTATAGAGCCTCGTCGGTTTGCATGTGGGTGTAGTGGTTCTCCACGGGGAGATTTATCGCTCGTCTGTGTTGCGGAAGCGACAGAGGCGTCGTCACGACTCCCGGTGTACCGCCGCCGCGTCGCGAGCCTAACCACGACCACACATTGTGCCCTTGAATCACATCACACCACATCCATAAAACTCGCGCAACTCTCGTTTCCTTCGTGCCAATTATCCACCATCCCTATTTCAAAAACTTTAAACTGAATTCCAAACGGCACAAGGATAAGTATATCGTTCGTTGGTGAGAAAGAAGTCTCGCCTGTTTTTATGTATGTAAACCTCGATGCATTAACGTAGACGTAGAATTCAGAGTATTTTAAAGTATCGATGCTATATTGAAAATTTTTTTACTTCTCGTAATATGATAATTAAGATTTGTAATAATAATTTTTCAATCTTATGGAAGCTCTGGATGATTATAATATTCAAACTGTAGCTCTTTTATTACTGTGTGGTGTTAGAATTGTTAACAAAGTGGAGATAGGTGGTCCTAGCGAAGACTTCTTTCCAATAGTGAGCAGTAGGTAATCCAGTCGATAACTATCGATCTCTATTTTACCTTGTAACGGATGTATTTAAGGAGATACGTACCAGGACTAGGAGCGACATCGTGATAAGGTGGCAGCTTGTCGAGTTCGAGAGGCGGCCGATCGGGTATAACC